ACAAAATATTAGATTTTTTTATTTCTCTGCATTATTCTACGACAATAAATTAAACTTAATGTTAAGCTTGCAAAATTCAATTTAATTTGCGTGTATCTTCAGAATTTATTAGCATAAGTTAAGGCATTAATTTATTAAGTCCCAATGAATTAAAAAACAAACTGAGTCATTTACGAAAATCCTTCGCGAAAGTAAACATTTTAAAAGGTGGGATGTATGCTATGAATCACAGGTACAATTATGGAAAACATTATTACATTTTCTAAAAATGTTCATATTTTGTACGAGTAATTTAACAGAGCTTTATTTCAATATAATAAATCTCTAACTTCCAAATTGGTAATTCAGTAATATTCAATATTTAGTGAATTTAGTCATATTCCAGCGCTGTTAAGGAATGTAAGATAACTTATACTTGTGATTTATTTATTATTCTTCAAAATTTATTAAAATTTAAGAAAACACATTCTGTAACACAGAAATTGTGTTCCGATTTCCTTCCAACCAATGTTGAAGTCAAAGATCAAATCTTGTAAGAACACCCAGAAATGTTTTGTTGTTTTCCCAAATTGGGGGAGATGTATTACAATGGGTTAAACCATCGAAGTGGGCGGGGTTTCGGAAAGGGGAAGCGGGATCGCTGATCACAGATCGCCAAATACCAGATCGCATACGTAGGCAATGGCAAACAAAATCGTAAAATAAACAAATAGCGGGCTAACAACGAGTTTGAAATGGCCAAAAAAAAAAAAAAGCGAAGGTGTTGTTGTCGTCGCCGCCGTTCTGTTGTTGAAATTTCCGAAAATCAAATCGAAACGTAGGCGAAATTTAACGTCTATATATGCGCCAGGCAGGCATGTATCATTATCTATATGTGTTCTAGACGGTAGTGTGCTGCGTATCTGTGTGTCGAGTTGCCAATTTGTGGCACCCACACAAAACAATCCACGAGTTCAAGCCAAGCGGACATAAACAAGCTATAGACGCCGTTTGAACTTGGCTAAATTAAACGAAAGTTTAGCGAGCATACAGATGCTAAGATACTCAGCTACTGGGCGAATTTCCGAACACTTTTCGACTTTCGACTTTTGCCGAGCCATTTTTTTTCGTCGGTATATGAAAACAAATAATTCTATTTATAGTTCACTGCCACTGTTCTTTCAATTTAAATACTGCGCTGTCGGTCGGTTCCGTGGGGAAATGGAAATAAATCGAGTGTACGTACGAGTGCCCACCGTACATGAATCATCTGGCCAAGAAGAGATACACAACCAATCTGCCAGATACATCGCTACATGGTCGGTGAGGATGCGTTTCTGCTGCTTTTCGAATTTCACTTCAAAAAGCGAGTACTTCCACGTACATGCAGTACGAGTACGTGAAATGTGAAATACCACAACAACGAAAACTCGTTTCTGTTTCTATCTGCGGTCTCGAGCTCCTCTTTCATAGGCCATAGACATAGACCAAAAAGACACAAACAGCCCACACACTCTCTTTCGTCTTTCGTCTAGGTATTTCTCTCGCACAAATACTTGCAGCACTCACTGTGCACTTTTCCAAAACTCCAAAAACGCAACTACCAGCTACAGTTCAATGGGGAAGGAAATTCGTTGTTAAGTGTATTAGTGTTCGATCGCTCCCAGCACTAGAGTGTAACGGTTCGCGGAGTGTTAGGTTTTTCGCTGTGGTAACGGATCTTTGAATCTTCGGATCTTGACGCGTCGCTAGCTCGGGCGGTACTGAGGCCTCCGATCCGCACTTGCCACCAGCTATCGCCATCCCCCATCCCCATCCCCGCCAGTGCGATCCGATCCGATCCGATGGCAACTTGCTCCGGAGACGCAGCTCGGACCTGTTCGCCCGTGTTGGAGAGCATCTGGGAGGCGGGAGAATGGCCCATGACCATAGCCTCTCTCGGCTTTCGGTTGCAAAGCTCTCTAAAAGCTTTTCTCTCCGCAACTAATGCCAATTGATCGGGCGATAGAGAACGAGAAGTGTATTTATTTGATCAGAAATATTAAACACCCTTGATGAATCCAAAATATACAGTTTAAATTCTATTCTACATTACCTTTTGGTGTGTAAGTAACTGTAATAGATCAAAGCCTGACAAGATATAAAACTAAGATAAATAAAACTCTTTTTCGCCATAAACAGGCCCATTACTGGACGAACTACATAAACTTATAAAACTCTCTTACCACCTTGGCTTGTAAAATATTTTGAGAATTTCAAAACAAGAAAACTTTGTTTTCCAAAATTATTGAGCAATCAGTTCATTTGATAAAAGGTTGCATTTTCAATATAATTTCTTTTAATTGAAAACATATGAACCTAATTACCGGAAATATACAAATCTGATTACCCGCTCCAAAGTCTGAACTGAAAAAACAAAGCTACTCTGATAAAAATTCACAAAATCCGCCACCAATTTGACTTCCAAAACGCGTGATTGTTTTTTTTTTTTTTTTTTTGCAATCGATCGTAAGCGTGTACATATGTATGTATGTATAAATAGCACAAATTAGCAAACCAATTTTAAATTGAAGCTTGCGAAGTTTTAAATCCCAACTAAGCGACCCTGTAGAACGGCCTCTTCTATGCCTGATTTAATGGGTCAAATAATTTGATTAAATTTAAATGACAGCCTACTGTTCAGAATGAGCAAACAATTCGAAGATGCTCCAGTTTTTGCCAAGCCATGATGCGCCATAGATTTAATGACAAAAGTTTACTTATAAAAAGCTCATGCACTTGTTGCCTCGTTTCCCCCCAAAAAACCGTTCTCGTTCGTTTACTCGATATAAAAGAGTCAAGTGTTTTCATTTTATTCACTCGTATTGCAGTAGAGTCGTCCATGATTATTGTGATCAGTGAATCTGAAGTTGATAAGCTTTTTTATAAAAAACAAAGACCGATAATGCCGGTTACAACTGAGGGGAGCAGCAGTTACGTTAAAATTACGATACTTAAGGTAGACAAAAGCGGCTGTACGGGCGGCGACGATCTAATCCTTGGCGGGCACCTCGATGACGCGCGGCTTGTCGATGATGCGGGCGGTCTTGTTGCCCTTCTCGACGATGCCGATGATCCATGCCTGGTAGCCCTCCTGCTTCTCGATGTCCTTGCAGTAGGCGGCGGCTTGCTCGCGCGGCAGGCAGATCAACAATCCTCCCGAGGTCTCGGCCGAGTGGCCCTGCAGCAGCTGGAACATGTTGCCGCAGGCCTTGGCCACCGCGGCCATCTTGGCGATCACCGGCAGGTTGTGTATGACAAAGGACACGTCCTTCTTCTGATGGGCGGCCAGTGTTTGGGCGTGACCGAGCAGTCCGAATCCGGTGATGTCGGTGGCCCCGTGGGCATTGTACTTGTGCATGAGGCGAGCGGCCACTCTATTGAGCCGCGACATGGAGTTCATGGCCCGGTGGTAGGCCTTGCGCACATCCTCCTCGGACACCACCAGCTTGATGCGGTTCCAGCGCTCCGGCTGGTCAATCCACTGGTGGGCATTCACAGCCACTTGAGTGCCCAGTGGCTTGGTTAGGACCAGAACATCTCCCACTACGGCGTTGTCTGGCACAATGTACTCATTAGGCTGGCAAATGGTGGAGGCCACCCCACCAATGGTGCACCAGGGATTGACCACGCTCTGCCCTCCGGTCACAGTGGTGCCTGCCTCCAGAGCGGAGTCCTTGAAGCCCCGCATAATCAGTGGGATAACGACGTCGCGCTCCTTCTCCGTCATCTTGGTGCTGACCGCCAGAAGCATTAGCATGTTGTCGCAATCGGTGACGCCCATGGCGTAGAGATCGCTCAGCACATTGGCGCAGGCAATCTTGCCCATCATGTAGGGGTCGTCGACGATGGGGTAGAAGAAGTCGGTGGTCTGCACCAGGCAGAGACCGCCGTGTCGCAGCGGGATCACCGAGCAGTCCAGACCAATGCCGATCCGGGGAATGGCCACGTTGAGGAACTGCGGCTCCTGGTCCTGGGCGGAGTAGTCCTGCTGCAGGGCGGACACCAGCTTGGAGAGCACATCCTGTGGCACCTTGCAGCCGCGTCCTTTGAGATCCGCGAAGCGGGTGAGCCGAAAAGAACCATCCAGATCGTGGGCTGTGGGATCGAAAGGACGACGCAGCTCGGCGTCGCCACCGCCATGGAGCTCCAAATGGGCCGAGTTCAGGACATCAGCGGCGTAGCTCATCTTGCTTTACGGCTGAAGGATAAGAAAATCTGATTATGAATGGGTATGACCAATTAACGCACTTTTTGCCGCGCAACAAAACATAATGGTCCACACTATGCAGCGAGTAACTCGCGTTCTCCCCGGGCACCAATACCACAGCGCTCAGACGTGTATGTACACGGATTTTCCGCTGCGTGTGTGTAGCGCGGCCTGTGATTGGCTGTTGCCGCGATGGCGGCTAAAACGGGCGAAGTCAGTATTTCTCCCCGTCGGCGAGGCGAGAAACGTGAACAATGCCCACTCATTTCAATTGCAAAATGCCAAAAAAGTGCACACTTTTATATTTCGCACTTTATCGGTGGTAATTTCTAAAGACTTTACACTTACGTTTGCTTGTGCGAATCTACAACGAAATTTGTATGGGTCGTCAGCAAAAATTATTTATTTTGCGCCTGGTTTTTGCTTTTTCAACGAGCGAGATGCAGTGTTACCAGATGGTAAAACTATTTTTTCCTCAAATGCTGGTGAGCGTTTATTGTGGAACGATGGAACATGGAACATGGCGGGCTGTTGTAATTTTTGAATTTTCGGGCTAATTAGCTCGATAATCAAAAACATTTAAATGTAGAATTATATAGAATAGAAAGAACTAACGATATAAATTGGAAAACAAGTGTATATGTTGAGTTATGAGTTTTGGGACTGGGGGCGGACCGAACTGAATTGAAGGCGATAGTCAAGTGCGATAGTTCGATGCAGGGCTGTCGAATCTATCGATAAAAACAGGCGCCCAAAGTAAAATAAATAAAAACATGTTATTTAAGCGGAATAAAAGGGTAAATCCAACTGGAAGCTGTAATTCACTCTTGGAAACCTTCCCGGACCAAATATAAAGTGAAAAACAACTTCATGGACTGTTTTAACAGCACAAAAGAGAGCGCCAGAAAGAGGCAAAGAGCGGTCAGCAAAACCTGTTGCGCCAGCAGAGTGAAAAGTAAAAGTGAGTAGGAAACCATTTACTTATTTACCTTTGTTCGTTGATAAGCCAAGTAGTATATATTCTGCACAGCTTGAAAAAACCCTATTAAGTCAAGCGGAAAACTCCATAAACAAAGAAGTATAACTTCCAGAAGGCAGCACCCACAAAAGACTTGAGCAACGAACTTGGTTGTGGGCAATGGGCTAAACTAAATTAAAACGCTGACGAAATCCCAAAAACCATGATTCAGCTACGCCTGCGCAGTCTCGTTCTGCTGCAATTTATAGCCTTGGCCAGTTCGGAATATGTATACGGCGAACCCGAGTTCAAGTGCCCCAAAAAGTGAGTTATATTCTTTTAATTATGTATTTCCCTACTAATACTTTGTTCAAAACAGAGCCAAGGCCTTGTACCCCTGCGAATGTGTAAAGGGTAGCGATAATGGTCTATATATACGCTGTGAGAACGTAAATCTGGCCACTTTATCCGTAGCCCTCCAGAATTTGGCCTCTTTTGACATGCCCATCGAGGAGTTGACAATCTACAGGGGACTCTTTGGTGCGTATTTCGACTTAATTATAAAATATTTATATTTAAAATCATATTTCCTTTTCTAGTACGTCTCTATGGACCTCTGTTTGCTCATATTAAGGCGCGCTTGCTGATCATAGAAGAAACTCCGCTGGCCACCATTGAGGATTATGTATTTTACGGGGTTAACAACACTTTGGAGGAAGTGCACCTACTCCGCACAAATCTAAGACAGATAGGACCACTAGGATTTGGAGTAAGCATAACATTTCATACCCAAAACTTGCTTATGTAATCAAAAAATGCCTTTATAGATTCTTAGCAAAACAAAGGAACTTGTAATCGATGGGCATGCCTTTGAGACGCTGCCCAAAGATCTGTTTGCTGGTCAAGAGATCTCCAATTCTCTTGGTGTTATAAGGATGACCAATGGCAACCTGAGTGATCTGCCTGTAGAGACTTTTCAGCCTTTGCGGAAACTGAAAACACTTGACTTGCATGGCAATCAATTGGAGAATCTTAAACGCAATCAGTTTAAGAACCTACGAGAGTTAGAGGTTCTGGATATCAGCCACAACAAGATCAAAAAGTTAGAGTCACAGCACATAGCTGATCTCACAAAGATGGGATGGTGCAACGTTTCTCACAATGCTTTAAACGAACTAAGTCGGGGAACTTTTGCCAGAAACTCGGTCCTAAAAGTCCTGCATTTATCTCACAACAATATTTCTCGACTAGATGCAAATAGTTTCAGAGGAATGCGATTCCTGCGACGTCTTTTCCTAAGCGATAATGTGCTCACAGAGGTTGGACGCGGTACTTTTGGTTCAATACAACGCATTGGCACTATAGATTTGGCACGCAACCAACTGAGGAAGGTCGAATACCAGATGTTTACGCAGATGAACTATGTGGAGGTAAGCATTTAAATGTAATAGATATTTATCTGTATTAATAAAGGCATCTAATTTTAGCTCCTCGACTTAGCGGAGAACAACATCACCACGATTGAGAAGAATTCGTTTAAGGATATTTACCAGGCTGTAATAAACGTCTCGCATAATGCTTTGGAACTAATAGAAACGGCAGCCTTTGAAAACTGTGTGAACATCACGGTTCTTGACTTGTCTTATAATCGTTTGGCCAACTTTTCGCGTCGCAGCTTTGATGAGACTACTTTTGCCACCTACTTTCAGCTGAGCTATAATAACTTCACCAATTTAGCGCAGGTGATACTCCCCTTTTTTTGTATTTTAAAATTTTTACTAATTTTATGTTATCATGCAGATTCCTTTGCAAAACATGACGGGCTTAAAAGTACTGAACGCCTCGCACAACAGCATAACTGATATACCCAAGAACTGTTTTCCGAAACTTTATGAACTGCACACCATTGATGTGTCGCACAATAACATCTCCAGCATATTTAATGGAGTTTTTCAAACCCTGTTCTCGCTACGCTCCATTGATCTAAGTTACAATAGCATGAAGGAGATAAAATCGTCAACTTTTGGCACTTTGCCTACCCTCCTGGAAATGGATCTGAGTCATAATAAACTAGTTTCCGTAGTTCGAGGATCGCTGGCCAAGCTGACCAGCATGCGGCAGCTCTACTTAAATAACAATCAACTGGAAAAGCTATTCCAGTTGCCCATTTCGCTAAATGAACTGCATTTCAGCCACAACAGACTTGCTGAAATACCTGCGGGTACTTGGCCGGTGATGAACTCCTTAATTTACTTGGACTTGAGCCATAATCAGCTCGGTAATAGTCTAAATGGGCAAAGTTTTACGGGTCTGTTGGTGGTGCAACGCTTAAAGCTTCAGAACAATGGCATTACACAGCCGCCAATGGAGGCGGTGTCCGTCATGTCAACGCTGCAGTACTTATATTTGGAGGTGAGTAAATGACTTAAAACTGAAAAAATCAACTTATAAAACCTTATTCCCATTTAGAACAATAATATTACCACCCTGGAGCGCAGTGCCTTTGGCAAACTACCCGTTTTGTTTGAGTTAAATCTGTTTAATAACCAAGTTAGGGATATAAGGTAAATGGATATCTAATATTTAAATATTTTATAACATAAGTATCTTATTAAACGTACAGCAAACGAGCTTTTGAGGGCCTGTTGCAGCTACTCACTTTGAATCTGTCCTCCAACGGAATCCAGCAGCTACAAAATGACATCTTTATTGGCCTGCCCTCATTGCGAACTCTTGATCTGTCCTTCAATTCGCTCTCCAAGTTGGACAACAAGACCAATGGTGTCCTTGACGATTTACTCAGCTTGGAAACCCTGGATTTAAGTCACAATCGTATAAGTTTTGTGACCAAAAAGACCTTTCCATCGCATCAGTACATTCCCTACAATCTGAGGAACCTGAATCTGAGCTACAACCAAATGCCAGTGCTTACCTATGATATTACCTTCGGCACCAAGAAGCTATTCAAATTGGATGTGTCCCATAACCAGATCAACGATCTAAGGAGAGGTGTTCTTTCCAACTTCACTTCACTTCAAAGTCTGGACATGTCCTACAATGAGCTGGCAAATCTGGCATCCGAGGAGCACATCTTTGACCTGCCACAAAACCTAAGCACTTTGGATCTGTCCCACAACCAAATCTACCATCTGCCCTTCGGCAATCTGGTGAAAGTGAACTCCCTGAAATATGTTGATCTAACGAACAATAGCTTGGAGGATGTGCCGGCATCGATAGTGGGCAGCATGCGGAATGGCAGTCAAGTGCTTCTTGCCGGAAATCCACTGCACTGCGCCTGTAATGCCCGTCCTCTGAAGCACTTTATGCTGCAGCAAACGGCCCCCGGTGAGGATTTCCAGGGCATCTACTGCGGCACACCGGCTTTGATCAAGGACAAGCAGCTGCTCTCGCTGGATGATGAGTATCTGCACTGCGCCGAAGACGAGCGGGAGATATACAAGGGCTTTGACTATGAACAGCTTACGGACGTCCGTTTCCGTGAAGTGAAAACGTAAGCAGTTTGTTTGATTATACGGTCTAAGAACAAAGTTACATTTTTTTTTTCCCGCCCACAGCAACAAAGTTGGCCAGCTGACCCTGAGCTGGTATGTATCCGGCACTTCAGACGTCTCCGACTTTCATGTTTACATTCGGAGCACCGGCAATGAGGTGCTACACCAGTCGGACTACGCCTACAACAATCGTACTGCCCAGATTCCAGTAGAGGATCTCGTGGTGCTTGGAGAAGAGAAACTGCGTGGCGCTGAGATTTGCATAGTGTCCAGGGATAGCTACGGCAACACCCGCAAGTGGTTCTCCGGTCAGTGTCAGCAGTTGCCATCGCTCAAGCGTCCCCGTACTTTCTTCTTTGGAAACTTTCAGGTCAGGGGAGGTGTTTCCAAAACCTCCAGCAGTCTACCTCACTGTCTTTTGTATATAATACTCGTTTTGTTTGTTTCCCCGTTGAAGTAAACATCATAATTAATTTAATATTATGTATCTTTTCGAACTTAAAACTATGTTTACATATCGTTTAGTTATTTGTTTATAAAAATATTCTGGTGATGCGAACTACAAAGACACAAATGTAAAATACTAAGACTAACCGTTTTAAGTTCGAATCGATGTGATAAAATGAACCTTTTGAAAAGATCAGCTTGTCTTTGATCCTTGATCCTATTGTTGGCCATGTAAATGCGTTTCTATGGCCATGGCTCACTGTAAGGACACGATGTGCATGTGTTCTGACCTTACAGCTGAACATGTGCGCGACGCCCTATTATCACAGCCGTGCGCACATGTATTTGTTTACTTGGACGCCGCCTCGCGTGAACAGCGCAATTCAGAAAGCGTTGGAACCACAGCCAGCTGATGGCTGATGGCTGATGGCTCAGGCTGGCGGACTTTCATTCAGGGCGAAAACACAAAGGCTGTAATCCGAAGTGCTACTCGGCGCGGCGATTCATTCTCAATTTCGCATCGGCTTCTGCTTTTGCAGCGGGAGCGTGCAAAAGGATGAAAGGACTCGCCTGAGAGCCTGACAAATGCGCACTCGCGCTCTTGGTCGAAAAGGCATGCGAGGATTACACTGGCGGTCATATTTGTTGATGCACCTACAGTTTTGGTGGACCCCTAAAAGTATGCATTGGTTTTTCAAGTTATTTCTTAAGTACTAAAAGTATTTCATTTTTGTTTTCTTTTCAGAGGCTATTAACCGAAATGAAAACTAAATTTTGAAGAAATGCCGATTTGTGTGATGGGAAGTTAAGATCGTTTAATATGTTTATGTGCTTGACAAAATTTCTGTATTTGGAAATGTAAGATTTTAAACCTAAATCTTACCATTAACTGCGGTAAACGATTTATACATGAATTTTAAGGTGAGATGTATGACTTTTTCAGTTTTTTAATTTTAGAGCTACAATTAACAGGACTTAGAAAAACTAGTTTTTTTAATCTAACACTACAAATTTTCCAAAATATTATTTAAACAAATTATTATTTATAACGTATTAGAGTTATGCTTTGATCTTCTCAGATGTTTGGTACCAATTTATTATATTTGTATTATTATAGTGTAGGGCATTTTTAGGGACCCCCACTGTGCCAAAGGACACGAGACACTCAGGACATGTGCACTTTCACTGCCGCGCCACCCACACGCTCTCGGTTTCACTTTGGCCGCAGAAGAATGTGCTTTTGTGCCGTTCGCCTTTGCCATCCTGGCCCCTCAATCCGCCCCCCAAAAAGCCCCTTCTCTGCATTTTTGCCAGGCGACTTTGCCTGTCCTTATCGATTTTCAGCGAATCTCGCAGGCTCGGCCCGACTCGACTGTTTCTGCTACCACGGCGCACGTCAGTGGCATGCGAATCGGAAAGCCAAGTTTCACTTGTCGCGCTGAGTTCGTTCGTGTCGCAGCAGCAGCAGCAGCAGCAGCAAGTAGCAGCAGCAGCAGCAGCAGCGAGTGTGCCGTTATTCCGTTCGTTACATAAAGAAGAGATTTCATATAGCAAGTTTAAGTGCGCTGCTCAGTTGCGAATCGCATAAATCATTCAGCGAAAGCAGCATTGTGATAAACATTTAAACAGCCCATGTAAACGAGGGGAGTCAGCGCGACCCACAAGCGTAAAATATTGAAATCATAATTGAAATCGACAGAAACGCAAATAAAAGAAAAGAAAAGTAATGCAATGATTTCCGAGCACCAGTGACTGTGTATCTGGTATATAGAGCCCGAAAATAAAAATGAAAGATTAAATGTGCCGTAACACGGGCGTTCAAAAAAGTATCAGGTAGTCGTGGGCTCAGGGAAAAAAAGAGGAGTTCAAAGAGGAAGAGGTGGAGGGGTGGCAAGGTGGCCAAAGACGAAAGACGAAAGGCGAACGAAAATGTAATAGAGGTCAAAAGAAGCATTGATTTAACGTGTGCACTTCCTCCCACTTTCACCTCCACTCCTCTGGCCTCTTCTTCTTCTGGTTCTCCCTGTTATCCTCCCACCACCACTACCACCACCACTGTGTGTCCTGTGTGCCGTTTTTCGTGCCACGACTGTGCCCTGTGTGCGTGTCTCTCTCGCAATATTTGCGTGTGCGTGCCTCTGTCTCTGTGTGTTATAAATAATTTGTTTAAAATTCGTCAAATCGCTTGACGTTTCATTCAATAAATTTCACCCAAAAAGTCACAGGGACACGAACACACACGCAAACACACACACACACACACACTCACACGCACCGCCCCGTGTGGCGCCCGTGAAACGTGTATGTATGTACATATGTGCGAAAAATGTTGATGACGAACCACTTACGTCTATCGCAACCCACGAAACCAACGAAACCACCACAAACACAGCCGCAGCAGCTGAAAAAATCGCATGTAACACACCAACACACCCGCACACTATACACACATAGCCCTGGGACACACGTACAGTTCAATATCCAATAAGAAACCAAGCATAATTACATAATCAAATAGAACGACTGGCAAAAAAAAAAAAATAAACGAATAAAGACAAGAGACAAACACGAATAAAAAAATCACGAGCAACAAAAGCGGAAACCAGCGCAAACAAGGACAAGAAAGCAAACACGAAAAAACAACTCAAAGTGCAGAATTATTTAATCAACGCCAGCCAGTCAGCAAGTCGAAAACCCTGGAAACGCCTAAAAATAAAGGACACGCGATAACCAAAAATAGAACGTAATGATAAAACCAAAACCAAAGTACCTGCAACAATGAAATTGAGCAAATCTTAAAAGCATATAACCCAAAAATAAAAGCAAACCCAAGATAGAATTACTTTTAAAAATATACACATGACTCGCTATATACAAAAGTGCTCTAGATAAACGAAAAACGCTAACCATATATAAACAAAAACCGTAGTTCGTTGCCGTTTGTTCACCACTGGATAATACCGATACAGCCCAAGGACATAGAGCGTACTCCCCGTTTGAGATAGAGTAATGGAACTAACCTCGTAGTTTGTAGAGAGACGAGCGTCTCTGCCCGTAGGTCAGCAAAATAAACAATTCAAATAACCGCAACATAAACGCACTTAACGACTAACTAAAACTACCAAGTAGTTGCCTCTCTATATACAATATATATATATATATATCTATATATATATATAAATATATATACACCTACGAGATATATACAAGATACAAGATAGCCGTAGCGAATAGATAAACGTCAGTCTGTATATCTACCTATATGGATTTATTTTTATAATGCCGCTAGAGCGAAACTCGATCCCCGCCCTCGACCTAGGCCTTTCAAATTGCATCTGAATAAGTAACGAGGGCGATTAATGCATTAATTGGGTGACGAAGGACGTCGCCACACGGAGTCTCAAGGAGGGACTGTTGCCGAGTCCGGGTTCTGGTCCAAGTCCGCACTGCTTTGCGTGTTGCTCGTGCCTGATATAAAATCCACACCCAGGACCGTAAGCCGTAGACCTCAGACCGTAGACCCACGGAGGGATACAAACGTAGAGGACGAAATTAAGCTACCTGCTTTGGGTTTCCCGTGTTGCGTTGCCTTGACGTAACTCCGCCTTAACTCGCGTCGCTTCCATTTGCCACAAAGTAAAAAAAAAATACAAGGCGACCGCAAAGCCAAAACTGCGGTGCGTTCGTTAAACTTTCATGACCAAACATTAACTTAAGCAGGAAAGAGGAGAGAAGCGGCCAGAGGAGGGTTGGACAGCGAAGAGATAGCATACATTTCGGAGCAAGGAAACTGAGCTGTCATCATCATAACCCCTCCCCCCTCCAACAGCTAGTTTGTTTTTGTGATAAATAATTCAACGATCCACTCTCGGATCCCGATCCTGCCCACCCCACTTCAGCTCCAGTTACCGTTACAGTTACCGTTACCGTTACAGTTACCGTTATAGCTCCAGCTCCTGGCCCCACCATCACATCTGTACACCACCAACCGAATAGCAACAATAACTATACCCTAGTGGATAAACGACATTTATAATCCAAAGTACAAAACGAATAGCCCCGAAATAACGCTGTTAACTAAATAAAACGAATGCAAAACTATAAATAGTAACATATGGTATTATTATACACGCAACTCATAACAGATAGAGTCCTAAAGAGTCACATAACCTCAAACGAACAAGCGCATAACAAAACGAATTGAAACGAAAAGTGAAGAACCATAAGCAATATAAGCAGTGCTGTTGACTATTTTAGAGGCCAACTTTTAGATATCCTCACCCAACCTACGTTACTCAACCAAACACCTAAGAACCCACCAAAATCGAATCTAAAAACCTAACCTAAAACCTAAAAAAACACGGATAACGACGACGACGACGAGGACGAACAGCCCCATGTGCGAGTGAGACAGCCAGATAGTAACACAACGAGAAGCAATTTATTTTTATTTACGTGTCCGTGTGCCCGAGCGCTCGACCTGTATTAGTTAATGCCAAAAATCGAAGCGGAAGTTGCACCCACACCTGCACACACACGACAACTACTGCTAAATACACAAAAACACATACTCAGCCGTCATGACAAGGCCAAGAATTGCAGCGGGCATTGCGGGGCCCTCCCGGCGGCAATAGCAATAGCAACACCCTGAAACAAAAAAAAAATACAGAAACCAGAAATATACCCAAAACAACAACCACGTTACGTTAGCGAAGGTGGCGCAAGTGGTTCGAGTGGTTCGATGTGGCTCGAATTCGAATTCGAGTGCAGGTGGTGACGTGACATCGGCGGCGTCGTGGGTCCAAGAAAATGCACGTTAAACACACTCAGCGCCGAGTCAGCGGTCCTGGAGCCTTCGGAACATTTACCAACGATCAACGGTAGGCGTTACCAACTCACTTGCCATCCTTGTCTGTCCTTGTACTGTTGTTGTGCACGATGTACGTTGTACTTGTGTGTGGGAGAGCGAGTTTCCTTTGAGTGCAAGTGGGCAGAATGCAGGACGTTCCAGAACCGAGGATCCTGTCTTGCTCACTCGCTTGCACTTGGGCCATCTCCCACACCGCGCTGTACAGTTTTGAGATGAATGTATTTATGTTTCATTTTAAATGTGATCCCTGGGTTGGACCTACGTTAAGAATACATAGCGTCAAAGCTATGTCCTTGAGTGAGGTAAGTGTACGGACTACCTCACTCGAGAACCGAACTTAAGCGCTGTGAAGTAAATTTCAAAACTTTAGGTACTTTTTAAACTCTAAATCTAAAGATTCTTATATTTATAATAATTTATTGTCTTGAACATGACATAAATATAAATTTTTAATTAAACAATATTTGAGAAAAATGTCAACTCTGCGTATGAGTTATAAACAAACGCTCATGGACACCATATTTATAACGTATACGCAGTGTTGACACAAGTTGGATAGCTTATAAACTTTGAAATACATTTTCGTATAAAAACAAGCTCGTAGGACCTAACATTTTGAGGTCTGTGGTCCAACCCAGTGATCCTGTTTCTTGTGTTGTTCAAATTGTTTCGTTTTGTTCAGTACCGTTTTTGTTCAATGTCTCTGTTTTGTTATTTGTTTCTTGAGTTACCCTGTTATTGTTGTTGATGTTGTTGCTGCTGCCGCAATTGCTGTTGTTGTTGTTACTGTTCACGTTCATCTGTGTGTAACTGTGTGACTCTGTGTGTGAGTGAGTGAGTGAGTGAGTTACCAAGTGCTCTCCTTGCTGGCCTGCTGTGAACTGATTTCCTGCTCCTGCCAACCCCCCTCCTACCGCCGCCCTTTTATAGGGTCATCCGTCACTCCAGTCGATGCAATTACGAAACTAGATTAAAAGTCAAGCCAGGCCGACTACAATGGCCGCACCAATACGCGCGGACAATCGCACCAATACCAATGCAATGAATCGCATCGCTTGAGAATAGTGTCAAAGATCTTAAAGTGCAATCGTACACAGTGTTGCATACATTCAGGGGCCACTGTACTTGTAATTGCAATTGTGTTAGTGGGCGAGTGAGTGGGCCGCTTTGTATGTGTGTGTGAGTGTGTTTGAATGAGCGGAAGCTTTCGTTTTTACTTCAATGATTAATCCACTGACCGAATTTCGGCTTGCATTCGTTTGTGTGTGTGGGTGTGTGTTTGCTTGTATGTATCGATAAGCGCTTGCCGACTACTGCATTGTTGTTGACACCCACCCACACACATAGTTTTTTCACCGACACCGACACAAACACACATACAGATACAGTTACAGATAACAGACAGAGACGGCGACAGTGAGTGAGTGAAGCAGAGGGCCAGATAAGCTGTTCTTTTCTTTTGTGCCAAAAAGGAAGCCCGATGTTTCCAATTGAGCTAGTTCTAGTTCCACATTTCCATACACTCGACAGCAACAAAAACACACCCACACCCACACCCACAAACACATATATACACTCACACCTATGAGCAGGACCCTCTCGTGTCTGTGTGCTTTGTGCAGTTAATTTAATTTCTTATCCCCCAAACGAATCTCATTTAAGTTATTTCCCGCTCAGTTTGTTAGTTTTCAGTTTCGTTTCCTTCATTTTCTCGTTTTTTATTTCCATTTGGTACTCGTCACGTGAATAACTTGGATTTATTTCGTGTCCTTGTCGTTGTTGTTTTGCAGAAAACTTTGCTTAAAAGTACAAAAACGTTGAAAACAGAAAGTAAGAACCAACCAAACTGAAACCAAAACCAGAAAAAAAAACCACAAACCAAACAATTTTGCAACTCACATTTGCTGTGGAGCGATCTTAGACATCATCAGCGAAGGTACCGCCGACCAAATTTCGAATATTCCCCATACTTTCTCTCTATCCCTCTTTTTGTCTCTCAGTGTCTCTGCCTCTTCTTCTATATAGATCGTAGTCTCTGTATGGTACTTCTCTACAACTACTACTACTTATACTAATACTACTACTTACCGTTACAATTACAACTGCAACACTGATTTAAGAAACACACATTTAATGCTACTAAATTTTCTGCTCGTTACTAGAAGCTACCCCTAAATAAATCCCACCTACCCTGCAAGTTTCAATTTTTGAGCTTCACAAATTCTGGTTGCAACCGAAAGTAAATTCATTAACTTTGATGCACTTTGCTAACTAAACCCACTTCCACAAAAACGTCAATCAAAATGAGTTCCGAATGCAATGCATCGCTTTAATGACTTCTTTCTCGCCTGCTTTAAGATCTTTAGTAAAACCTTCACACTTCTCAGACCCCATAGATGCTTACCCTGATTCCCGTATATCACACAAGTCGAATCCAAATTTATTTACAATTGGCATGCCAAGTGGTTGTGATGTAGCATTTCTTTGTTTGTTGACTCCACTGATTTCCCCAACCCCCTAACCCCTCAGCCCGCAAGCCTGATTTATTAATTGCTCGGCTGTCGTTATAATTAATGGATAATTTTGGCTGAATTCTGGTTAGCCGAAAATCGTGTTATTTATAGTTGAGCTAAGCTCTCATCGAGTTCTGTGTTCATTTGCCTGCCCAGCCGGAAATCTTTTGAAGTCAAAATTTAATTACCGACTGTGCAGTGTATTTAAAATGGCATTTCCATATAAACGACACTAGATGGCCCGTTCGTAACCTCTGTTTGTTATTGCAATGACCTTAAACAGAGTCATTCGGATGGTCAAGGTCGTTTCGGACTTGTTCTAATTATTAATTTATGCCTTTGTTATACTTAAGGGGGAATTATATTTTTATTTCATGTTGAATTGAACAAATCGAATTCGAATTTTGGTATTTTTCTTTAAAAAACTGAGACATGCATAACTAAAGGAAAACACAAGATTTAAAGATACAGATTTAATCCCCAGTGTTGGTATTGCATTAAATAAACATTTTAAATTTTAAGAAAATATATTTTGTACTATAATTTAGCATAAAATATTCAATTGTTTGTTTTCCAATACGCACTTCTTTAAAGTATTTCTTTGTAATGTTCTTAAAACAATAGATAGGAAATCGTAATCACCAATTTTAAATTACAATTTATTTCTAATTCACTTTCATTTATACAAAGGAAATGTCGTAAATATGTATTTGTTCAAATAAAATCCGCCTGACTGCAAAGGCTTTGTAGATTGGCGCAACGGTAAACATTTGTGAACTAAAAATGGAAACTTTCGTAATTTGTTTACACGGAAATGTGTACCGAGTGGCATGTTTGGTAATTTGCTTTCAATTTTGTTTGATTTTGCTGGCGGTAGCTTTCAGCTCATGAGCCATTAAATGCATATTGAACATTTTCCAAAATATTCGACAACAATCAATTTTAAAATAGTTCAAGCGGTCAGGTTGAATGTTCAAAGTTCAAGACCACAGAAATATTCCACGTTTAATCGAGTTCAGGGAAATTAGAGTGGCACATTTACATCCCCATTAAGACAAGTAGTTCAGATACAAGTAATGTTGTAGATCCCCCATTTGGGGGCTCACAGCTGCACTTGATTTAATATCGATGAACGAAGTGGAATGCAGGCAGGCAGCGACTCAATTACGTACGCCTTACGAATTTACGCTTAATGCCTTCAATTGGCTTTTGAATTATTAATTGAGGCATATTGTGTCTCATTCGCGGGCGGAGGGGCGGGTAAGATTTCGATGGCGGAAACCTGCTCCGGCAGACCCGTTTGGCCCCCAATTCCAATCACTCGAGGATGGGCAGCACATGCTCCAAGCTCCACTGCTAATCCCCTGGCCAGAGGGCCACTCCACTGCGCCAAAAGTTGTCATTGGACATGGGCCGCATAAAAGTGCCACACTTAAAAAAATATAATAAAATTGGGTTAGGAACTCAGCAGTTTTTGTCTTTCAAAGAGGCACTACATATGGCATGGCAACAAAACATCGGCTGAATGTAGGAATGTTAAAACTTAAGATCTCATATACATATTATTAGTAAATGAGGTTTATCACATCTGGTAAGATTTTTATCCTCATGCCTAGAATTATGATTGGGATTGTATAGACATTTGAAGTTAATGATAAATACTGATTATTTAAATATTATATGATAAATTAGGGGGGTTTCCATTCAGCATTTGGGATAACCAAAAATCAATAAAAATAAAGAATAATCAAATAAAAAGAATTATTTTAGTAGTGCAACTAATAAATACGTTATATTTTGACTACCCTACCATTCAGTGTCTTAAAGATTTTTTATAACATAAAGATGTTTTTAAATGTTTTTTCTCTGTGCAGACAAGGTTGTCTTATTAGTTTACCCAGTCGAAAACTGGGCCCAAAATTGGGCGAAAAGGGGCAAGGGCAACTTTTGACTGCAGCACTTGACAGGTGGCAAACACTCGAAGCCGAGATGAAAAAGCCATCAGATAGGAACCCCAAGAGCTGGAATTCCCTCGAGCTCTCGATGCTTTCGCTTTGATTTGGCTTTGGCTTTGGCTGTGCCTTTGCCTGTGCTATTGCCTTTTTTCCCTCGAAACTGAGTTTCGGCCAGATTAGGTCCGAGATTGGCAAGAGGCCGCCACTCTGCAGCGGATGTGCGATTGTATCTCGGTCGTTCGGTATCTGTGAAGTGCACACTCATCGGCTGAACATTAGCGTGCAAATATTTGACATATTTACTTATATTTACACAAACGACGATTCAATTCGATTCGATTCGCTTGCAAATCCAATTCCGATTCGCATTCAAATTTGAATCAAAGTTCGGATAATTGCGCCCATGGCGTGAGGGAGCTGCCTAATTGACCGAAATTGATTCGAGCGATTCCGGCCTGGGAAATGATGTTTGCTCTGCACTATTTCCCCCCCATTTTTCGCACTCAACTAGAGCTGGGAGCCGGAATCGGAATTGGAATCGGCATCAAAATCGGAAAAGTTCGATGCACGCATACCGAGAATAGGGCTCCAATTGTTTTCCCTTTGTTCGAAAAAGAAGGGGGAGGAGGAGCGGGGGAGCGGACTCCCCCCTTTGCGGCAGCTATGTCAACAATAGTTTGCCTCACGTTTCGTAGCATTGATTGCCCAAGGCACAGTGGGCCAGATCGCTCGATTTGCCCGCATTTCCATTTCATTTGTAAACATACCATGCAGCTTCCCATTTGGCTCCACTGTACCCGCTTTGCTCCCACGCCTTATCAGCCGTGTCCGTCTGTCGCAGCCTTATCTTATCTTGGCCATTTGGCCATTTGATTTAGGGCACTTCCGCCGCCCACCGTGCGGAATGGTTTCATTACCATCCGGGCACGCGTTGCCAGCCATATATCTCTATCTCTTCGTGTTGCCTCGGTGTGTATCTGTATCTGTATCCGTATCTGTATCCCTATCTGTATCGGTATATGTATCTGTATCTGTTTCTGTATCGCCCTGTAGCTATTTGTTACCGCTCTATCAGTGCTTGGCCTGCGTGCCGCCATACATTAATTTAGTTGAATTTTTCGCGCGATCAGAAACCAGATGAGCATGTCAACCATTGTATATAGATGTCTCTATAAATTGTATCACACATCGCGGTCACAGGGGGCACTTGATATAAGGGACAAATTGGGGCCACTTAAAGTACAAAAGGGGAACCTGTAAAAAGGTTTGGTTTAAATGTTTAAAGTCCTGCTTACTTAATTTAAATAACAAATTTGTAAGACTTAAATTAAAAAAAATTATTAATTATGATGGCGTTAGAAAATGCATTCTAAAATTTAGATTTAAATCACGCGACAGCTTAAATCAAATTGCAAGTAATGATCAGCTTAAGTCATACTTTACCCAGTATTCTTATGACGTCAAGAGTAAATTTGTAAAATTTTGTTTGAGCGACAGTAATTATCAGATGAAGTCATTCCATATGCAATCTTGACCACAAGTATTCTATAATATAAATCTGGACTTGAAAGTGCTCCTATATCAAGCGTCGCCTGTGCGATGAACTCACATAGAAGCCGGGAATGCGATACTCCTCCATCTTCACCGCTCCTCACCGCTCGTCACCGCTCGTCACCGCTCACATGTTGCACAATCAATATTTATAATTAAGAATTTTCTTTGTTTGTCTCGCGGTTTTCCACACTCGCACACACTCTGTTTCCTGCTCACTTTAGCGTGGCCCTCTGAACCACGGAGCCTCTGTTCCGTCTCCCTCCCAATGCTTGCTTGCCAATTTGAAATAGATAAATTTGAGTGTTCGCCAGCGCCGCTGGCCAATTCGTTGCGTTGCGGCATCGGCATCGCTATCGGCATGCCATACTGAACATACGGTACTCATTGAAGTCTTTCCGCCTCTTTCTTTCCGCATCCACATCCACATCCACGCCTCCGTCCTGGTCCCTCCGTGCCGCAGTGCCAGCCGCGACAACTTGTGCCCGGAGAACCAGCAGCAACAGCAGCATCAGCAGCAACGGCACTCGCACTCGCACCAGCACTTGGTGCGCCAGTCTCTGGTGAGTCTCAGCAACGGACAGCCGGCGGCATCGGCGGCATCGGCGGCGGCGGACACCGTCTCGCTGCTGCGGGCGGGCGATGACCAGCAGCAACATCTGCAACAGCAACAGCAGCAGCAACATCTGCAACAGCAACAACAACGTCAGCGCAGCAGCAGCAGTCGGCTATCCACGAGCGGCATCTCGAAGCAAAACTCCTCGGATAGCAGGAGCGGACTGCGAATCCTCGACAGCAGCCACAGTCCGGTGAGCTGTGGCACCCAGAGCGTGAGCAGCACTGGTGGCCAGTCGGCGCTCTACGATGCCTGTCACGAGTACTCGCGCAGCTTGAGTGCCGCGGCTGCAGAAGGAGCCGGCTCGCTGCTCAAGAGCCACTACAGTGACCAGCAGTTGGCCAGCCAGCCGGAGCCTGACCCAGAACCGGATCCGGAAAGGGATCGGGATCGGGATCGGGATCGAGACAGGGAACGGGAGCGTCGCCACCTGACCAATCTCAATCTCAATCTGAACAGCGAGTACGACTACAGCGGCAGTGACAAGCAGCAACTGGTCAACGAGACGTACATCTTCAAGTGCATTGCCAACAGTCCCTCGTTCCTGCGCACCAACAAGATCAAGGAGCAGTCGAAGAAGCTGCGCAATCTCTCCCTGAAGACGCGCACGGCCAAGAAGAAGGGCCAGATCATCTCGAAGTCGAACGCGGTGTCGGACAACTCGCTGCATCCGGGTGACAAGTACCTCAACTTGTATCTGGTGGAGAAGAAGCACTCGCTGCAGCCGCAGGTGGCCTCCAGTTCGGGTTCGACGCCGCATCCGCAGGCCTCCTCGGCGCCGGCCAGCTCCTCCTCCTCCTCCGCGTGCACGCGGGCCCAGCAGCAGCTGCCGGCCCTCTCTGCCGTTGCTGCCCGCCAGCAACAGTTGCTGCTGAACGGTTCGCTCAAGGCCAAGGGGCAGCAGCAGCAGCAGCAGCAACAGAGTCGCACCCAGACGCTGCCCGGCCATCGGGCGTCGGTGCGGAGCGAGAGCGGAAGTGTAAGCGGGAGCAGCCACACCATTCCGGCGACGGGCAAGAGTCCGCCGGTGCCGCACTCGCTGGCGGCCAGGATCAGCAGCTCGGCCAGCGGCAGCAAGAACTGTAATCTGCTCAGCGCCAGCAGCAACTCATGCCACAAGCTGCACGCCCACGCTCACGGATCGGGAGCAGGATCAGGATCGGGAGCAGGAGCAGGACCTGGACACTATACGGCCGCCTCACCCAAGAGCTCGGTGAGCAGCAACGGGCACCTGAACAAGTACTGCCTCACGGACCTCACGCGCCGCAAGGCCGAGTTCAATCGCCAGCTGAGCGCGCCCACGGATTACACGCACCACTCGTCCAGCAACGGGTCGCAGCAGGAGGGCTCCTCGGAGGCCAACGAGGGCCACGAGCCGGTCGGGGAGTCAACCATCACCGTAGCCAGTGCGGGCGTGTCGCACTCGCCGCACCCGTACTCCTATCCGTATCACTACGCGCACCACGCCTCCTCGGCCACAGCGCCCGCCAATCTCAAGGCGTCGCTGCAGCTGCACAGCCTCGGGGGCCACCATCCGTGTCCTTATCCGGCCAGGCCCACGTCCACGTCGTGCACCAACAGCTTCAACCGGCGCCACATCCGCCGGCACAAGGGCAAGCTCGGCGATCGGTGAGTACCGTACACTGTTAGAAAAAATGGGAAATCTTATATAAAATAATTAATTGTTCATTAACCATTGATATTTCATTAAAACTTAGTAAAGTATGGAGAATATACATCATTTGTGGTACCTTATTTTTCATTATTTAAATTTGGATAATTGTGGTCAATCAACATATTTTGTTTGCGCTGATTTTCATCCTTTGCGGTTTTTAGTAGTATGAATATAAATTTTTTTTTTAATTTTTCTTTATTAATGGAATTGATTTTATATTTGAAATTGAATTTAAGTTTAAACCATATATAACTTACATAAAATGCATTTAAATCAAATAGTAACTAATTTAAATATAACATTTTTCCCATTAACCAAAATATTTTATTTTTAAATCAAGCAATTAAATATACATTAAATAATTAATAAATTTTGGATCATAATTGCTTTTCATAATTTAACATGCATTTCTTTTAAAGTTTATACATGAATTAAATTAAAATCTAGATTTGTTTTAATAGGAACTATAGGTTATTCTTTTTCTCAAATTTTAATTACAATTACTTTGGTAATTAAAAAGATAATACTGTTAAACCAGCTCATTTTATCTCAATAAATTTAACTTTTCGAATTGCTTAGAAAAGTGCCTTGAATAAATTTTAAAAATATATAGGTACAAACTTTGCTATAAAATAATGCCTAGAAAGTGATAAAATACTTCTGAGAACTAAGTCGACTTTTTCTTCAGTCTATCCAATTCCCCGAAAAGAGAGCGAGTATTCGAGACATTACTCCAGCTTACAAGTGGGAATTACGCGTATGCAAAGCGTCTGACGACGCTTACCGGTTTTTTTGAGTGCCTTTCGTGCGCTCTGCTTATCGCTGGGCATTTGCATAATTCCACCGCCGCAGACCGAGATTCCCACTCCGACCTGCCTTTCGTCTCAGTTCGCGCAATAAACTTCTAATGGTCGCCGAGCAGTGAACTCCACATTTGAGCGGATCGAACGTTAAAACGTCAGTCGAAAATATCCAAATTCGAAGGTTCAAAAGCCTAAAGTCGGTGCGTGATAAGTGCTTTTCTGTAAATATTTAAATAGTTAGTCTTTGGGTAATAATTTGTTTAGAAACAAAATATTTGGAAATGAAACCGATGATAAGAAAATATAAACACAAATGTACATAGCGGTTCAACGTTTATAGTTTGGCGATAACGTTATAAATAACATTTTAAGCAAGAAGCCCAAATGGATGAACATCAAGTTTTGCCAAACCAATAGTTTTTGAATCGTAAATAATCGTATTTAAAAAGAAGTCCAGATGGAATACTTAAACAATCGCTTGTCATTGTGTGATTGGAAATCGTAATTGAATCGATAATCGTGCTTTTGGTGGCTAAACGGAAAAGTGACACGGAAAAGCAGCTATACTAACACCCTGATTGCGCGTGCTAAAGTAAACAACGATGTAATCGGTCCGGGTGAATAACATAATTCCATAATTTGTCGCGGGTACCCAAGTCCACAAATTGCGCCTGAAAACGAGACCCAGAAAGCGACCTGGACGACGCTTCCTCCTTTCTTGACCAGTGATATCCAATCCAATCCGAACCGTACCGATACGAATCCCCCAAGAATAGAACGCGATTTGCATAAGAAGCAGACGTATTTTACGTATCATTGTTTATGTTCCATTTGCTGTTTACTGTTTTCGGATAGTTTTTGAACGCGCGTATATTGTATTGTGTGGTTTTATTGGCATCAATTTTTGTGAAGACAGCAGGCAGCGAATTACAAGCAGCCATAATTTGCGTCGACGCTCGTCGCGAAATCAATTAAAAGGCAGCACAAATTCGTTATTTATTTATTGTGCAACGGCTGCGGGGTTCAGAACAGGTTATCAAGTCGTCGCAGCATCAGCAAATAGCTTAAAAAAGAGTCTGGCAAATACAAAAAAAAAAAAAAACAGAAAAGAAAACTAGTAGCAGTAACAGTAAAAAGAAACGGAAAAAAACAATCAACAAGAAACAAAAAAAAAAACCAAAAACCAAAAACGAAGGAAATAAAAACCAGCGTCAAGTGCACGGTGTCAATATCTCAATTATTTAATTAGGCAATTTCCAATTGCCAGCCAATTTCGGACTATCATTTGTGGTCGTCTCGGAAGCAAACTGCAATTCCTGGCCCAATTGATATTCGAGGTAAGAAGAATATCGCTTACAGAAAGTACAAATAAAGAAATATACGATCCATCCACCAATCCAAACAATCCCACCCCCCTTTTTTTCGGGGTCTCGAGGACGCCCGATTCGATTCCGATTCGGATTCCGATACCGATACCGAAACGCCACGAAGTCGCCTCGATCTGGTCTCGTTTTCGGAGTGTTTGCCGGCGATTTCCAAGCGGTTTGCGAGCGGCGACCGCTAGTCGCAAAAAGTTTGCCGCTGTAATCACTCCAAGTACCCGGTTCTGTTCTACTACTACTTCCACTACTCTATATAGCGCCGCGCTTCCAGACTTCTCCGATTCGCGGCGAAAGCCGTGCGAGCTATTCTGTGTGAGTCGGTCGAACGATTGGCGCGAGTCATATATCCAATAAAGTAAATCAGCGCAAAACATCTGTTCCGGCACGTTTTTCAGTTGCCAACCAAGAATTCCGAATGCAAAACATCAAGATCAAACAAATAAAACCGAAAACAGAGAAACACCCACAGTGAAGTGAAATGAATTTAAAACCACAGAATTATGAAATGTATCCATCCAAAATGATTTGATTTGTGTAATGCAATAGCCGGTCGGTTTGGCTGGTGAGCAACCATAACAATAACTAATAAATTCATTAGGCTAATGCCAATGGCGGTCAAGATTAAATTAAATCAGCTTCATCAGGCTTAATTAAAACGAAACTTTCCCATTTAAAAGTACCCACAATTGAGTGTGAACAGGCGAAAGAGAGCAGTAATAATAGAAGCACAGACACAGTTTCGAAAAGTATTATAAATACACGAAATGCGGAATATCAGTACGCCAAACCGTGACGCCAAAACTAACGTAACCACGAGCACGCGTCTCTGCCGGGCTTTAACAATAGGTCCGCCGTGAATAATATCCGTACCACGCGATTTGTCGTTCAGTGCTCGGTGTTCGGTGTTCAGCTTTTAGTATTTTAGTATTTAATGTCCAGTGTTCGCTGCTCCACAAAAAAAAGAAAAAACGCAAGCGGCATAAACACCCAGGGAGTAGGAGAAGGTGGTGGTGGCACTGGGAGGCAGGGGCAATCCAGTTTCTCCGGCTGCTTCCCCGGAAAACCTTGACAATCACCATGTAGCGGGCAAGGTGAGGGCAGCAGTCGCCGCTCTGATTCAACTTGCATTGTGCGTGTGCCGCAATTAAAAGTAAACAAAAATATCAAGAAAAACTGGATAGTTTTGGAGATCGAAAGTTGAAATACCCTCGCACAAATATAATTTAGTGATCCTTATACGTGATTGAACTAAGTGAAGAAATACAAAATAATTTAATATAAAAAAAATCGTTCCTACGTCTAAAATACACCAAACAAAAAAATCTTAAACGAATTTTAAAAAAAGCATCGTTTGTATTGCGTTCAAGAACTTTTGAATATGTTTAATAATCTAAGGAGTGGTTTAAAGTATATTTGTTTATGTACAAAGTGTTAATGTTATATTATGTTGATGTTAATCAAGTCTTAATTTCCTTTTGAAAATTGGTTTTTGTAACCCCTGATTACAAAAAAAAACAACCAACAAAACGGTTGTGATTCTGGAAGGATTTTAAAATGGTCGTAAAAGTCAACCAATTCTTATTTCGACTACGGTCTTCGCAAAAGTGATAGGTTTTTTTAGTTTTAAATTAGTAATCTAAAGCTAAATGCTTTTAAGAACTTTTAGAGCCCGGGTGCGGCTGACATGTCATATTTTATAAAACAATAATATTTATTTATCCTGACATCCTATTTAATGTAAGATTCATTTTAGATTCCATTTTTCATTTTAGTTAAAGTATGTTCCATGCAAAGATTGATCTAGGGAGCTCCCCAAAAACTATGATTCCCTCGATAAGAGTAAACGAAATCAATAAAACCGGTGCGTTAACCGACACCGGTCCATCCCGCCCACCTTGACACCCCATCTGCTCAGTTTCACTTTCATTTTGGGCAGGCTCTGGGGCCTTATGGCATGATTTCGTGTAACGGAATTTTTCGAGACGGCACTTCCGTGTTTACAGATTGCGATCTTCTCAATGCCATTTCAGACTGCTGAGCGGGGATAGTGAGGAATCGGTGCGCTGCTCCTACTGCTCGGTGCTGAATGTGAACGAGAACGACCTGCGCATTTCGTTCGAGAACACTTGCACCGACTCGCTGGTCACCGCTTTCGATGATGAGGCCCTGCTAATATGCGACCAAGGAACCGAAATGGCAAGGACAAAGGTTTCATTTGTACGACTAGCACAGGACGGATTACCCCCCTCCCCCCTTTTGACTGAATAACACCCAATTGTCACCAGACTTTGACTTTGACTGGCAGCGAGGCAAATTGGTTGTGGGATGTGGAAATACTAAGAAGATCCCATTCTAATCCTTCACAGGTACACTTTGATGACGTGTCGTTGTACGGCACTCCGAAAGAGGAGCCCATGCCCAACATACCGATCGTGTCGGAAAAAGTCTCTGCGAATTTCCTAAAAAGTCAATTGCAATCATGGTTCCAGCCGACGGACAACCGACTGGCCATGAAACTGTTTGGCAGCCGCAAGGCGCTGGTCAAGGAGCGCATACGTCAGAAAACTTCCGGACATTGGGTCATACACCCGTGCAGTTCATTCAGGTGAAACATAAACCAGATGATAGTTATGATTATCACGTACTAATCCAATTAAATCAATCTATTTCGATAGGTTTTACTGGGACCTTTGCATGCTTTTATTATTAGTAGCAAATCTTATTATCCTGCCAGTCGCAATATCATTCTTCAACGATGATCTGAGCACACGATGGATTGCCTTCAACTGCCTAAGTGATACTATTTTTTTAATAGATATTGTAGTCAATTTTAGAACAGGTAATGCACATTCAACCGAGCCAACAAACTAACAAGCCCCCTATTACAAAACCAAACCAAACCCCTTCCAAAAGAACTGGTACCGTGACCCCCATTTACTACGCCCCTGCTTAACCGTTAGCTTTTCGACCGAATATATGATTTCAGGAATTATGCAACAAGACAACGCTGAACAAGTAATATTGGATCCAAAGCTTATAGCTAAACACTATTTAAGAACTTGGTTTTTTCTCGATTTGATTTCGTCGATACCGCTAGATTATATATTTTTAATTTTCAATCAAGTAAGTCAATGTATTTAAGAAACAGTACGCAACATTTTAATTTAAGATTATGAAATTGCAGGATTTCTCTGATTCTTTTCAAATATTGCATGCCGGACGCGCCCTGCGCATCCTGCGCCTGGCCAAGCTGCTCTCCCTGGTGCGACTGCTCCGCCTTTCCCGCCTCGTGCGCTACGTGTCCCAATGGGAGGAGGTCTATGTGAGTACACCCGGCTCATTTTGGCAATGCTCGACCCTTTTGGTTACTTTTTTAGTTTCCTTCAGTTTCGTTTCGTTTCGTTTCGTTACCGTTTCATCTTTAGTTTGCATAACAACTAACTTACTCTCCCTGGTTTTCATTTTTAAGACACACTTGTAAAATATATACACAGAAAAAAAGATATTAGTTATTTTGAGATATCTCTATTTATATAATTTTGATGCCGTGTTAAAGGCCTATCCAGAACTGGCAAGATATAATTGTTTTTAGTCCATCTCAGTTCTGGTTATGACTTTGTAAGACAAAATTGGTTAAGAATTTGGGAGGGCTTTAAAAATAGTTCGGATGCAAAAGTATGCAGTGGTAATTTACTAAAAATTTAAAAAACAACATTCAACATTTAAAGCCTTAACTATTGATTTAGAAATTCACAAAATGCAGAAAAGAAACAAATGTAAAAGCAATGCATTTTAAGTTAAACTGTTTTTCGTATCTATTATTTCTGTGTATATATTTATTAGACCCTCCGTTTCGTCATTACCATTTTGGTTTTAATCTAGGGACCCTTTGTCCCTGATCGACTCCCTTTTCGGTTTGAATTTACCTTTCGTTTGCTCCAAATTCTCGACCGTAAGATCAGCATAACTACTCGTTCACTCCACACCACAAAAACAGATTCGATGATCTAGGTTATATCTAGGCAACTGCAGTTAGGCTTAGCACAGTGGTCAGTGGTCGGGGAGTATTATATCCTCAAAGTGCTCACTTTTCTTTGTTACATGTGTACGTACATGTGTGTGGCATTAAAAGTACTTTAATTGTGGATGGCGCGCAGAAATGTTCAAACTATGTATTTTCTTTGAGTTGTTATCTGGAACCTCTGTGTCTATGATTTCCGTTAAACGTTTAAATCCTTTGCGTTCGATTACCAATCGTTTTGTTTACCAAGTATGATATACCTTCCTCAACCTATGTGTGTCTATAAAGTCAATCAAACATAGAACCAGACAATCGCTGTACCATAAGCCAACTCAGTTTGTATATTATACAGTTGTGTGACCCCAATGTCTGTTACGTGTTGTGCGCCTGCTGCGCTTCGGGTCCACCAGACCAGATCCTGAATAATTACCCAGGCCGATTACTGCAAGAACATACCTATACCTATGTCTATAACTCACACCACACCCACATACTCTCGAAACACACTCAAATCGAATCGAAAATGTACCTTTTTTTTGGGTTTTTTCTCGAACCATCTGACGCGCTCGCTAAGCTTGAGAACATGTTTTCACTTGTGCCGCGGGAAGATTCCTTTGCTTTCTTTCACATTTCTTCAGTTGAGTCTTCAATTTATTGCTTCTGTTGTTCTGATATTCGATTTCCTATTCTTTTCTTGCCGACTTTGAAGCACTCAAATCGATATTCTTCATTGCACTTTGTACTTTGAACTTCTTTGAAGGCATCTCCGCAACTCAAGGGTTGGGGAATGTTCTTACCCTATATCTCTATCAAAAAAAAAAAAAAAAACACAATATCCTCTCCAACTCCCTCTAATCCCTAATCCCTAAAACCTTAAACCACCCCCCCACCCTTAACCCTAGCCACAGCACACCCCCCATGAGATACGTACAAGTACAGCTCCCTTTGAGCCCTTTATAAAACATTGCCTGAAATTGGAAACCACCGTATATTATGATTTATGTTTATTTTGTTTTTGAAACGCTCAACTAAAGCGATGAAAAGAAAAGTATTCCGCTAAGTGCGACTAACAACTTATGATGCTTATGAAAATCAGTTTAAGAACAACAAAAATAAAATAAACAAAACAATTCAAAAATCCAACCTAGCTGAATCAGGGCCTAAAATACCTGTGTATATATGGTTTTTAGATTCTGCAGAATCTACAGAAAAAAAGTGCTGATCGCAGAGGGAGAATGAACAGAAAAGACAAAGATGGCTTGACAAAAAGCAACCTAATTCTCAAGGTAAACCATCCAATAAAAAGTAACAACCCAAAAATCAAAATCAACAACACAACAACTTCAGTATATTTTGATAAACAAAAACCAAAAGCCTTGATTGATTGATTGAAATTATGATTATGTATTATTGGTGCAACATAACTCACGTTTTGAGGAATGTTAAATCCAAAATTGAGTTTTAGTGCATAATTTCGTTCGATTGTTCGTTCGTTCGATTGTTCGTTGATCATGTTTGCTTGATTTTAATGTTCGTTCGTTCGTACGTTCTGTAAATTTTCTGAGACTGCCTTTTTTACATATTGATTGATTGATTGATTGATATTGCCATACATAATCTCTATTTCTCATTTAATGCATAATGAAAATCTCAATATAACGAAAAAAAGAAGAGAGTCTAGCCCAAAAGCAGCAATAAAATAAAAACTTATTTTTTATTTACAAATCTTCGGTGTGCAACCGAATTTCTTTTCATGCTCTTCACACGACGTAGAATCAGTCAGAAGGATAATGTAATATATTTCGCTAGATCTCGTAGCTTTTGACTCCATGCATGGGCATGATCGGAAGTCCTGTTGTACTGCTATATCTATCATTGTGAACCACAGATTAGCTGGGTTATATTTCGTTGCGAAGAGCATGAAAACGCCACAGATCTCAGGAGATATTACGGATTCGGATTATTGTATACTGTGTAAAATGCTTACGGCTTGCGAGAGAAGCAGCACAGATCGAAATGTTGCCTCTGTAAAAACACCAACAAATATGCACTATATAGTAGGAAAAGTAATGGCTGCTGCTGCTGCTTTTGCTTTAGGATTAGGTTTTAGATCCGGACACACAGACACACACCCAATATAGTCAATCGATCTGAAGCAGGAAAACTGATCCAACGACCAATCAGATCGAACACGAACACTGTACTATATGTAGCCACATACTACTCGTATTCTATAGCATACATTTGTGGGCCCGTGCCAAACGCTTTCCACATTTCCTAACCTATATCGTATCTATCGTACTCAACTTAACCTCACTTTGATTGACACTCTGCTCAATGCTTTATGCTTTTGTACTGCGCGCTTTCCGCTCGAACTTTCTCTTGCTCTCTCTCTCTCTCTCTCTCAACTACACAGAGAAAATCTAAGTTTATTATACAGCCCCTTAATGCAATCAATATCTTAATTTTGAACAAATCAGTAGGATCCAATTAAAATCAAATTACTAGATCATTAACCCATTATTCTTTCACAGTATTGAAATGTTCAAATCATACCAAGTTTTAAATCGATTCGAGGTACTACCGCCTTTTCTATAATTTTAAAAAGTAAACATTTTATTTTAATAATAAATTAGCAATTCTAATATTTATTTCTGTTCATGTCAATAGGTTTAAAGTAAGTCTTTAAAGGTTTTTATGAGATATACACTTTATTTATGAAAAAACCCAATTTGTTGTTATGCTTACAATACCAATCTGATATGTTCAAAATTAATTTTTATTAATTCAATAAAATTAGTACATAATGCTAAGATCCATTTATTGTGTGATGATATTTTTTCTCTGTGTAAAAAATGCAACTCTGTTTTGCTGCCTCTGCTACCGTTACTTGTTGTTTGGTTACTGTTCCTGGTTTTGGTTTCTCTGATTTTTTATTTTCTCAGCCTTCTCTTTCTCTTCTGTTGTACAAAAGATTTCAGCAGGAGCGCGTAAAAAAAGAAGAAAATAAGCTTTTTGGAGTGACACCCACACACACACATGTACACGCACACGCAGCTACAGCCACTGATATCTTGAATGCAACAACCGTTATTTTATTATCTCAATACCGCTCCCTATCTCTCTTTTTCTAAAGCTCTATGTTCCTGCTCTTGCTCTATGTTTTCGTTTACCATTAGTTTGGTTTTCGTTAATTTCGTGATTGTGTTTATTCCTTTGGTTTGTTTACCGTTCCTTGTACAGAATTACGTAGTTCAATTACTAACAACTGCGAAAGTCAGGCAAACAAAAAGCTTTCATTGTAAAATACGAGTTCGATTTCGATAATTTGAACGTTTGAACGGCTTAGTGTCCATAATTATGTTTAACAAACGTAAAACAAAACAAACAAACAAAACAAAAAAAAAAAAAAACAAACAAAAGTAAAGATGAGCACTTGTACCATAATCTAGCAGCTGATTTTGCACCTATTCAAAACGTAGAAATGGTTTGAATTTGAATTGATTGAGTTTGAATTGATTGCTCAGGTTGTACACCGTACACAAAGTACACCCAGTACACCGGACACTGTTGTATTTCCTAACACTAGACTAATCTTATCTTATTTTATCTTATCGGATGAACTTTGTATACCGACTCCGTACCGCTCTGCTCCGATGATCTGCAGACCAAGGAATACACTATTCCGTATACATAGCATACTTATCGGGCAGAGTGGGGAGATTGAGTAATTTCTTGTTTAATGGCTGTGGTTTGGTTTGTTTTAGTTGCTTTGATTGGCATAATGCAATAACTGTTACATTTACTACCGGTAGCTGGAAACGCCAAAAGTCACCAATTGCTACAAGTTGCAAAATAATGTTTCCAAGTTTTATTTCCTCGTTTGGGTTTTCTTTCTCTCGTTTACTTGAGACATTTGGTTTTATATATATATGTGGAACTCACACCCATATGTAACACGCATACACACTCGATCACACACACACACACACAGAAGGACACAGACACACACACACACTCTTAACCACAAAACACAGACACACACACACACACACACACACACAAACACAAGCGGTGTTGGGCTTTAGTTGATTTGCACTCCTTTTGATTGACCTCTCTGGTTGCAGTTCCTCAATATGGCCTCGGTCTTCATGAGGATCTTCAATTTAATTTGCATGATGCTCCTGATCGGCCATTGGAGCGGTTGCTTGCAGTTCTTAGTGCCAATGTTGCAGGGTTTTCCATCCAACTCCTGGGTCTCCATCAACGAGTTGCAGGTGCGCCAGATCGGTAAATCCCTACTATCTGGTATTGGCTATCTAAATGGGCTGTTCCATTGCAGGAATCGTACTGGCTGGAGCAGTATTCGTGGGCATTATTCAAGGCAATGTCGCACATGCTCTGCATAGGCTACGGCAGGTGAGTTAAAGTTTCTATCTACTTAGATTGGGTGTACCCACCTATTTTAGCACTGTCCCTATCTACTTTTTTTTAAAAAAGTAACTATAAATAATAGAGAAATAACTTCAAGTTAAGGGAAATGGTGTTTTTGCTCTTATCTACTCCATAAATATAATAATTCTGTTCCAAAAAAATAATGTACAATAATGCGCTCATTTCCAGATTCCCACCACAATCACTGACAGACATGTGGCTGACGATGCTGTCGATGATATCCGGAGCCACGTGTTACGCATTGTTCCTCGGTCACGCGACCAATCTCATCCAGAGCTTGGACTCCAGCCGGCGTCAGTATCGCGAGAAGGTCAAACAGGTGGAGGAGTACATGGCCTATCGCAAGCTGCCGCGTGACATGCGGCAACGCATCACGGAATACTTCGAGCATCGCTACCAGGGTAAATTCTTCGACGAAGAGTTGATACTTGGCGAGTTGAGCGAGAAATTGCGCGAGGATGTCATCAACTACAACTGCAGGTGGGCGATCTGTCACTATGCATTGATCATTCATGTATTTCTTCTTTCAGCCGTTTGATTAGTATAGTATTTCGTATTATTAGTACTTTGTACTGCACCTCCTTGTTGATTATTCACTATTTTAACTCGATGTGTTTATGTTCCACAGATCCCTCGTGGCGTCAGTGCCTTTTTTTGCTAATGCCGATTCGAATTTCGTTTCCGACGTAGTTACCAAACTGAAATACGAAGTTTTCCAACCAGGTGAGTGGGTCCACCAACTCTTTGTTAACATTTTAATTTGAGCCTCAACTAATGATTTCACTGAACTCTTTCAGGTGATATTATCATAAAGGAGGGTACGATCGGTACTAAGATGTACTTCATACAGGAGGGCGTGGTGGACATTGTCATGGCCAACGGCGAGGTACAATAATCCCTAACATTTTTAATAATTTCCTGGCTAATTTGCAACCTTCACTCCAGGTTGCCACCTCACTATCGGATGGCTCTTACTTCGGTGAGATCTGTCTGCTGACCAATGCGCGTCGTGTGGCCAGCGTGCGATCCGAAACCTATTGCAATTTATTCTCGTTGAGCGTGGATCATTTCAATTGCGTTCTGGATCAGTATCCGCTGATGCGCAAAACAATGGAGACTGTGGCCGCCGAGCGGTTGAACAAGATTGGCAAGAATCCAAACATAATGCATCAGAAGGACGAGCAGCTGAGCAATCCGGAGTCGAACACGATTACGGCTGTGGTTAATGCCCTGGCTGCCGAGGCGGATGACTGCAAAGATGAGTAAGTTGACTAGAATACTATTACTAATATTATAAACTTTCTAAACACAATACTCTGAACTTAAAATATAAATTCTAATACTTTTGAAATATTATAAGTATATCATTTAATTTATTATTTAGCTGTGCATTCTGATCTGAAATCTTTTGTTGGATTTATAACTAATCCTTTTGTTAAATCTGTTTCAGTGACATGGATCTCAAGGAGAATTTACTGCATGGGTCAGAGTCGAGCATTGCTGAGCCGGTGCAGACGATACGTGAGGGTCTCCCGAGGCCGCGGAGCGGGGAGTTCCGCGCCCTGTTCGAGGGCAACACCCCATGACACTGAGGAGCGATGATGAGCGGTGCCGGCGGGCACCGGGCAACCATCTGAAGCCAGCGGTTCGCTGGACAGTCACTCACCTAAACCCACAACCATACCCCAAACAGGACTCCCACACTCACATACACACACTGCGTATATAATAATTTAGTAAAAGGAACCCCAAGCCGCGATAAGAGTACACTAAAAAAAGAATCAATTTATGGTAGACACTCTATATATGCAATTGCGATTTAGTAGAAAACGTATTAAAAACGAAAAATCCAAAAAAAGAAAAAAACAAAAACAATTACACAAAAAATGTCCTCAATAATTATTCATAATTTCAGCTCCGCTAACTGTGATGACTTTAATATAAGAATCGAAAAAAATTTAACAAAAAAAGAGAAAACGAGTACATACAGAGATAAATTATACGATAGAGAGAACTCAGCAGCCAGCAGACAGAATCAGAATCAGAAAATCACAACCCACAGCCATAGAAGATTTGCCACCTCAAACACACACACCTTACCCACACCAGACTCGCCAGACACACGAAATACTGACATATAAAGTAAATAGACATATAAGTTTTATGCCCACGATATTGTAACGATAACGAAGTGAATAGACTTTTGAATTGCTACATAGGCGTTAGTCCTATGGACCTACTACAAGAACACACAACCACACACACGCGAACACACCTGTAGCTGGTCAGGTGAACAGGTGAAAGGGTGACAAGCATCAGGCATCAGGCATTGGACATTGGGCATCAGGCGACAGGTGACAGTCAGTCAGACAGACATGCATCAACTTATGATATAAACGAAGCGAAGCGTTACAGCATACCAAAACATAGCTAAACGTAGCTATTATGTACTCGAGCAACCAACAAACAAACAAACAATTATGTATTATTGCGATTATATAGCATATTTAAATACGCATTGCAAAAAAAAAGGGAAAACATAACTCAGCAAAATACAAGACAAGAAAACAACCCAAGAAACAAAACAAAAAGTACACAAAAGTATTTAAGCAAATTTAACGAATGCGCATTAGTAGTTGAACTATTAGTTTTTCACTCACTAACAAACAAAACACCACTCGACACACAACGTAGTAGAGAAGCCTCAAAACAAATAACAAAATGGAAAAAATATATTAAAAACGAACCTCAGGGTGCCGTCGTTTCAGCGGTCACCAAAAAATAACAAAAAAAAAAAAAAAAGAACAGACAAGAAACCAACTATATACACAACATATATATACAAAACATAGACAATGTTGTCTTTTATAGGGAATTGTTAAAGCGCCTCAGTTACATTTCAAGTATTTATTGCGGGCCTGCCGCCGAGCAAGATCATGATTTACCATTCGAATTCAGAATTTCTGTTCGAGAAACCATATTTAGTTGCGAGCGAGATCTCTTTTGCAAGTGGTTCGTCTTTGAGTCCTTGTTTGTTTTACTTTCGGGCATAAATCAGGCGACGGACAGCGACTTGTTGAAGGATTTATGTAACTTAGTATTTTATTACACGTAAACTAATAAAAAGAAAGCAGAAGGACAGCGTTTGCCTTAAAATAATACATTAACGAGTTTTATTAAAGTCCTGTTTGGAAACACAAAAAAAGTCAGTTTGGCCTTTTATGCCGATTAGTTAGAGTTTAGCTATTAACTTAATATTAATATTTAACCCTATAAAAGAATAATTGGTGATGTATGAAATATTGATATATATTTAAGCTGAGATGCAGCGACGAACCCAACCGGAGTCGATAAGCAACTTATTCAGGTTCGCGGGCGCTTCGGTGCTCGGATCCACCAGCACCAGGTAGGCGGTGTTGTCCTAGAAAAGCAAGATGGTTAATACGTTTTCCTGTACCTGGTATTTATGTTTATAGACTTACGTCGATAGCCTCGACCTTGGCGTAAAGTGTGCGATAGGAAACCATCCTATAGAAGAAGTTAACGGCTTCTGCGCTCCAGGCCGGACTCTTCCACTGAGTTATGAAGGCCAAACGACCGGCCAAACACTGCGCCGGCAGCATGGCAAACTCCTTAAGCAGAAACTTGACGTCTTTGTGGCTCACACACATTATGACGCCGGTGTCGATCAGCTCCACCTCGATGGTCTTTCTGATATTATTGGGACGGTGCCTAACAACTTGGGCCCTTTCCCAAACACCCGTGTTGTTGGAGCGCACCACACAAAGATGATCTGTGGTGATCAAGCACAGCGGCATTATGTACTTATCCGAGTCTCGACTTTCGTAAAACATTCTACAAGGAGAAATTAAAGATGTATAGTAAAATTAAAATTATAGCATGTATAGAATTGTGAAGCTTACTGCATATTGGAGGACAAAGCCCTGTAGTCATCATACTCTTCGTTGTATACCCAAAAGTTGAAGCTGTGCGGATTGTCAACCTTCACCAACTGCACCTCCATGCGCTGCTCCAACTGGACAACAGTCTTAATGTCGCGAGTAGGGAGCTTGAAATCAAATCGAACCGAATCCATAGGATAGTCAAGGCTTAGAACTCGATTGTCCTGAAGGTGATAAATTTGACTAAAATTCGTTGATTATAAGTAGTTATCCTACCACAGCATAGGCTGGAATGGCGTTTTCCTCGTCCCCGTCATCGGAGGACTCATAATCAAAGAAGGATCCGTTATGGTCGAATCCCTGAGGCTTGACACTATCCTCCTGAATCGTTGACTTGGATATTAACTCAGGCTCAGGTTGGGAGACTGGCAAAGCTTCCTCCGATGAATCTCCATTTGCATCGACAGTTTGGGGCGCATGGTCTTCCTCTCCAGAGCTAAAGGGATCCAGTGCAAATTGCTCCTCATCAGAGTCCAATACTTCGTATTCGAATTTTTCTTGGTAACCAGAGGGGGAAGCAACATCCACAGAAAGATTTTTAAAGGCTTCCTCCATTTCCTTGGTTTCATCTTTCTCTAATTTATTTTGCGGATCTTCTAGCTCAGTATTAGTGTGAGTCTTGGGTGTTGAAATGATCTGTTCTTGACGATTTTGCTCTTTTTGAGGCATAGGTTTCGGGAAGTTTTGATCATTTAACTGCTCGGGTTTGCTTAATTTCAACTCCATAAGTTTTGGTATGATCTTCGGCAAATTCTGCGGTTGTGGTTGCGGTTGCGGTTTTAAAGTGTTCTGCGGACAAGGATACGAATTAATCAGCCACTGAAGGTAATAGTAATAATACTGCTGCTGGAAGTAATTAAGGAGCACCTGCTGTCCGGCGCAGATCATGGCATTGATATTGGGGTAGACAATAGGGGTATGAGCGGGATGCATAAGTCTGCTAAAGTTGGGATACGAAACGGGCATGTTGATGTTGTTGGGCTGCTGATAGCTTTTTTTTGACATTCTTCTGGCATTCAAACTCTGGATACTTTCGTTTATGAAGATCAAATCGGAACGCTGCGAGGCGTAGATATACTTTGGTTTGTGTCTGGGTCGATTTCTGGACTTGTGGCTAGGCTTCTTTTGGCATTGCACAAGTTGCTGAATGTGCGCCGAGTTCTTGGTGGTCACCGCACTCACAAAGGCCATGGTTCCGTGGCCCGTCACCTGGTAATAGGTATTAATTATTCATACTTATATTAATTTGAATCAATGGGTCACATACCCTGACTGTATCCGGAATCGAGCGGAGGAAGGATTCTATGTCCCCGAATCCCAGCTTGCTGTAGGGCACATTGCATCCCTCTTCACTCCTGTAATCGCGCATCAGCTGTTCTATCGTCATCCTTCCGGGTGAGGACACCACCAGCGAGTGCACCACCTTCTTCACCAGGCTCAACACTCCGAGATCTTCCATGCTGATTAAATGTCCGTTGATTTACGCTAAAAAGTTTTTGTTCACTAAAAATTTAACAAAATAATACGCAAAAAGCGCCGCCACGCTTCGAATTAGAATATTTGGCTAACTGTAAACTAGAGTTGCCATGTGTAAATAAAGTATAAATATCGATTATGTAAAGATTCTGCATCTTTCATATTTTTTATTTTTTACAATAACTTTTATGCTATTAACATTTTATCTCATTGCAAAATATCACGGTAAAACTAAAAAAATATATTTCCAACGAAAGTTAAATGTGTGTTTTGCTCATTTTTTGAGCTACCAGATGTTTTTATAATTCTATAAACCTTTATTTTCTAATATAATATAAAAGTTAAGCAATGCTAACTTTAAATAGTCCCCGGCGATATTTTATGGTTGCGCAAGTATCGTTTACAGTTTATAGTTGTATGGCATTTATAGCAAATATCGTTTAAAATTATCGATAGGACGGTGCTGCCAGAAATCCGAAATATAAGTTTAGGCTTGGCGCCTAATTTAAAAACCTTTCAGTTTTTATTATTGCAAACGAATTTATAATAGTAAAACACAAACTAATAAATACATTTCTGACTGAGAAAATTAAAAAAAATAGAGTTAAAATTTAAAATAAATTCCTTTGACATTTATGGCCACTGATTGGTTAGTGCTGCCAGATAAGTAGTATTTACATTTGACGATTTGGCGCCACTTTTAAAACCGGTTGCACCATATGGCGGTGTTGGTTTTCGCTTGGGTCGATTTTTTTGGCTTACTGTAATTCAATACCCCCGACAGACGTCCTTCCTTGTGAAACTCAAGTAGCCGTAGGAAGCTACAAGTTCAGCGTAAGTTCAAGTCACATGTGGGGCTTGATGGAAGACCACCAGCAAATGACTTGTTTTTTTTGGAATCGGCTTGAGTTAATCTTTGAGTCGTAATTTCCATAGTTTTCTACAACTTTTTAGCTAGAACTTGGCCATTTAGATTTGCAATTGCGCGGTGTTACAACATCCGCTTACAACTTGGGCGGTGGGCTGATAAATCAAAACTAAACTAACTAAACCCGCCCAAGAAATGGAGTTTTTCCGGGAAGGTAGTATTATACCCGACACTTTCCACACATGACACATGAACTTGTCGGAGACAGTGGCTCCATTAATAATTTTCACACGACCGGCAAAGGGGCCTTGTGCCATGTAAATTTTACAAGCCCCTCTTCCACATTCGCCGGGTTGCGTAAGATGATACGTTTGGGTTTTATGCAGCAGCATAATTATATTCTTTATATTGTTTATGGGGAAACAAGAACTGGAACAACAACAGCAACAACAATAACGACAAGAGCGTTTTTGTGGTTTTTGTTGTTACCGTTTTGGTCACTTTACAAATAGTTGAGGAGGAAAAAAGCTCGATGGGATCTCTGCAGTTGGCTATGAGCGGGTGACTTGGCAATCAAACCGGTTGTCCCTGCTCCACGGCACCGTCTTTGCCTGTGTTCGTGTGTGATTTATAGTTACGCACAAGCGCGCAAATCCAATTAGACGAACTGGCTGACTGACTGACTGACTGAATGGCTGAAAGACTGGCCAACTGACTGACTGACTGGCCAACTGACTAGCTGACAATCCAAAGCATGGCCCGCAGCAAATGCCGCCAGGTTATAGGACGGCCGCTGGTTCGATCCGATCTGTAGATCTTGGCCCAAGCTCCCCAGGCACAGCGGCACAGTTGTCATTGGCCAAGAGCAAAATACTGGTCTAAACGATGCCATAAAATATTAGCAATTGCTATACCATACTTAGTGCCCATTTATTTTATTGATTCCAAACCTTTTCTGATATTATAAATATCTAATCAATACATTATATATGTTAAAATATCAATATTATTTATAAATATAATTATTATTATTGTAAGCCATACGTTTTTTGAATCGGCTATGAAGGCATTTCTAAGCTTTAAAAATAAAAATCAACAAATCAAGTGTGACTAAGATGGAAAGATATACATATGTTTGTCTTAAGTGATCATTTTTGTTTTAGGTCGAAATATATTTCTGTTTATTTATTTTTTAACGGAAGCTAAACTAAGCTTGAGATAAGAATTAAGACCAATATTAAGAAAATAGTATTAAAGGTCTAGCGAAAAATTGTATTATTTAAATGTTTATTAAATTGGTAAAATCAATTGAGTTCCTGATATATTCACAGTCTTCCATTACCCCACTTATCTATCTTTTACTGTAGTCAAAAATATACAAATGGGTCGGGAGACTGTATCTGTTTTTGATGTTTACATCATCGCCAATGGCGGAACTTCAGTGGCCCGGCCACACAAATGTCGTCCACCGTCCACCGTCCACCGTCCGCGGTCCACAGTCCGTCTTTGTTGCATTTTTTCAAAAATATACACATTTGAAGAGCGAAAGAAAAACGAACTGCAGCCGCATCTTTATCTAAAAATTGAATTGAAATGTATGTCATAATACCTTTGGCATGCCGGCCAGTTGCTTGACATTAAAAATGCGCTACACCCCCTTCACCCTTCCACCATTCGTTTCGGCCAGAAAAAAAACCACATATGGCTGAATGCAAATTTGCTGCCATATGGAGCAGAAAAGCTGATGACGTCGTCATCGTCTCACTGAAATTGAAATGCAACTCGCATTTGGGGCCCGCTCCTAGTTGAACAATTTGTGTTTTTCATTTCATTTTTCGCAAAAGGGCCCTGGTGT